CCCCATCCTCCCTCCGCCCCCCATCCTCCCTCCACCCCTCATCCTCCATTCCCAGGACCTTTACTCAGGACCAACCCTCCAAGTTCACCTTGGGACCAGAATGAGGCAAAGAGTGTGTGTGGGAGGGGAGGGGGGGAGGTTAACCACAGCCACAGACTCAAGACAGGAGCACCGGGTAGTTTTCTCCTGCGGCCGCACTCCACCTGAGTCCTCCAGCCTGGGCCACCAGCCGCCCTTCCTGCCTTCTCCAACCCCGTCTCCTGGGACAGCAGTGTTCGCCTCCCTCCACCCCAGGCTATCTCTCGTGGAAACTGGAGATCCTGGAACAACATAGTCAGGAGTTCATCAAGGTACCTTCTGGGGCCCTCAGCCTTGACCCCAATCCAGGGTGAGAGAATAGAAACCCCAGGACGAAGTGGGGGCTCAGTGGAATGTCTCCCCAGTTACCATGCAGTCCCCAGCACATACGACTTGGAAACCAGTCCAGCCAGGGCACTGGCGGTCAGCGGCAGGTTGCTTCTGAAGACCTTCTGATGACACAAATTGGGGCCCAGCCCACCCTGGTCCTCCGCCAGCCTGAGAGCCCAGCATCTCCTGGGGCCATTCTAAGAACCTTCCCACGACACCATTCCCATCTTTTAAAACCCGCATTCTGAAGTGCATTTGCTCCTTAACTTTATATTGCACCATGATATGACTTCTATCTTGAGCTTTACGACCTACGGAAGGTTTTCTGTGCACATCTCCCCACCTGATGAAGGAGAATGGACAGGGTGACCGCTGGGGGTCCCGTTCGTGTGGGATCCAGTGAGTCCCTCCTCTCCCCTCCACCCTCTGGCCCTTAGTTCCCCGTCCTCCCCATGGAACGGAAGATGACTTTGCTGAAGCAGGATGACCAGCTGGCCATGACCAGAAGCGTCAAGGAGGGCGCGGTAAGGATGAGCGCCAGGGGCAGACGTTCTCCACATCCTCCCTGAACCCGTGAGCAGAGCCACAGTGTGTCAGGCTGGGAGCCTGCAGCGGGGACTCTGGAGGGACCCTACGCCCCACATCCGGCTTGCCCGCCCTCCCCACCCCTTTGAAGTTCGATGTTCCTGACTCAGATGCGTCCTGAACAGGAAGTGAAGACAGAAGTGGCTTCTTTCCCCTGGCACTCAGTTGCGGGCTTTATCTCCGAGGCTGCCAACCTGGTGTTGCTGAGGGTCATGGCCTGGCGGCGGATGGTGCCCAGCAACGCCCGCTTCCTGGCCTTGGACACGGAGGGCAAACTCTGCCATTCCACCTACGTGAGGGTCGCCCGGGCAGGGGACTTGGCCTGGGTGCAAACTAGAAGGGGCTTGGAGGACGCTGAGGCGGGAGAGAGGACAGCTGTGGATGGAAGAGGGGGTAGGGGGATAAATCAGGGCGTGGGGGTGAGACTTCCAAGGGCAGGGGAAAGCAAGAGCACATTTGTGACGGAGATCAGGTGTGGGGCAGGTGGAGGGAGGGAGGGGGACCAAAGGTGTGAGCAGCTGAGGGAAGCAACGCTCTTTGCACAAAAGTCAGTCCGGGGAAAATTAACATAGTGGACAGCTGCTTTTAAAGACATATTTTTTAACTTCAGGAAACACAACATCTCCAACTGCACTTAAACGTTCTTTTATTATGTCTCAACACGGAAAGGTGTTCCTTATTTTCTTTTACTTTGGCTAAAATTTCATAATCAACATACCTAGGATTTCCCGCAATATGTGATTTTAAAGCCGCGCCTCTCAACGCACAGTTTGGGGGCTGACAAACTTTGTAAATGACATTCTAGTGTTTTCTATCAGAAGTATGACATGACAAACAGCAGTGTGTTTGACAGAAAGAGGCACATGCCACTTACCCCATTTTCTCTGAAACACGTGTTTTACGTAGCCATAACAGGGGTTTAAGCTTTAATTAAAACAGGGCAGCCTGCCTGCAGCTGCCTAGGCCTGCGGCGGCCACAATCTCAGTCTAGTCCTACTCCTCAGAGCCTCACGCCCCCCCCCAAATAGCCCAGCCCCCCCCCCCCAAATAGCCCAGCCCCCCCCCCCCCACACATACACACATGCACACCTAATTGGTTGATCCTCAACCCTGTAACAGAATCCGCCAACTAGAAGCACCTGGTCATCGAGATGGCGTGCAGAGGTGTTTGGGCAGGAGCTGGGTGGAGCTGGCTCTCTATGAGGGGACCCTCAACTTAACTTGGGGGTGCAACTCAAATCTTGTGGCATCTGAGGGTCTGGAAAGCCAAGTGTTGCTTATCACTGGTGAACAAATAACGAAGCTGCAAGATGGAGAAAAGGGCCAGGGTAAGATTTGGGGGGAGCCCCTGGTGGGCACCCACCTCACCTCGCTCCCTCTATTTTGGCTGCCGCCAGCAAGCCCTGGGCTCCCAGACGATCCAGGTGGGCCGCCAGCAGGTGGAAGTGTTCACCGTGGAGCAGACTGTACACTCGGAGGAGGGCATTCCCATGTCCTGCCAGTTCTACCTGCTCTCCGATGGGTGAGCTCCCGACAGTGGGGCCAGGGGGCAGTGTGGAGCCAAGCCTGGGTGCTCAATGAAGGAGGAGGGTGGCGCAAAGGGAGATGCTGTTTCTGGGGACACCAGGGAGAGTAGCTGTTGAGACCTGAGTGCCCCTCACTTTATGCACATCACTCACCCCTTCTTCATTCATTCGTGCATTCTCCTGACGCTTACAGCGCCTCCAAACCTCCCCAAAGAGCCCTGAATGGCTGAGGATGTCCGACTCCACAGGGCCTACAGCACAGATAACACGGCTGCCACAGGTGTTTGGTGTAATATTGAAAAACACCAAGATTTGAACAACCTGACACTCGATAAAATCAATGCGCTGGGAGAAGCATCCTGGCACACTGTCAAGCTGTCACCAGCAAAGTGTAGGCACCAAATCATGAGAAAATTCGGGAGGGGGAGAAGAATTTGTTTTTTGGCATTTTCCAAAGCGGTATTGACATCATCATAACACTGGGGAAAAAAGTAATGGGAACATTGTTGGCTTTCCGTATGTCGTAACTTAGCGTGTTGATTCTATTTCGAGTGTCACTTAGCAGGAGGCTCATGGTTTTTTTAGGGCTTACACCTCTAAAGGTCACAGTGCAGCCCTGGCACACCAGCACACATCTCCAGGGGTACAAACAGTGCCCAGTTGGAAAAGCAGGGGCCATTATCTGGGGATCTAGAAATGAACAGGGCCCTGGAACGCAAAGATAAGTGGGGAGTGGGCAGCAGCAAAGGGAGGCCAGGGTGGTCTCTCGGGAGTGGGCTGGTCTGGGCAGACTCCTCCTCTCACACCTTCTTCTGTGTGGCTCTCCAGGCACCTAGCCAAGAGAGTCCAGGTGGGCTCCCCAGGGTGCTGCATGATCACCAAGATGCCCATCCTGAGGGAGGAGGGTGAGTGAAGGGGAGGTGGGGAAACCTAGGGCCTTCCGCGGTGCAGAGGCTGGATTAAGCGTGGGATCCGAGCCTGAAGTCAGATGGAGAAGCTTTGCCCCCCAGCCCCTGACTCCAGGGCAATTAGGAGAGGATCGCTGTTCCTGGAACCCCTTCCAGCAACTCTGCCCACGTGGGCAGAACCCTGGGGCTTTACCTGAGCCTGCAATGTGGCTGTTCTTGGGCATCCCTCTGTATCCGAAGAAGGTTCCGGGGCCGGGGTACACAGCATTCCTCCCTCCCCACCCAGATGAGATTGAGCCTCGCCCAGTATTCGAGAAGAAGCCCCTGGTGTGGGAGGAGGACATGGAGCTCTACTCCAGGTTCACGGACCGGAAGGTGAGGAGAGACTGCAGCCAGCCTGGGGTCCTCCCCCCCCACCCCACCCCCCGTTCCCCTCTGGGCATGAATTCCACCTTTACTGGTCTCTCTCTGTGCCTGGTTGAAATGCACGCCCCTGGGGCTGGGAGGCCCCCGCGTCCCTAAGCCCTCCTTGGAGAGAAGCAGGGGGCCCTCCTGGGGCGCGGGGGTCCCGGGTCGGCTCAGGCTGGGTCCCCGCCAGGAGGAGCTCCGCGCCAGCCACAGCAGCTATCTGCGGCAGCACCCGGAGGCCCACGCGCTCATCTCCGACTTCCTGCTGTTCCTGCTGCTGCGCCAGCCCGCCGACGTGGTCACCTTCGCGGCCGAGTTCTTCGGCCCCTTCGACGTGCGCCGCCCGCCGACCCCCGCCCTGCGCTCCTCCAACCGGCCCAGCCCCTTCCGATCGCTGGACCCGGAGCGCAGCCCGAGCGAGCACTAGGGGGCGCACGACCCGCCGGGGCCGGCGGGCGGGGACGGGGCAGGAGGCGGGGCCTCGGGGCCGGGAGGGCGGGGGCGCGGGCGGGACGCCCCCGGGAGGCGCGCTTTCCGGGCTGCGGTTTGGATGGGAATAAACGGGGCCCTCCCGGGGCTCTGCTGTGCGAGCCGGAGCCTTCCCGGGCCAGAGTCTTGTGTCTTGCACTAAAAATAGGAACCGTTAACAGTGTTTATGGAGCTAATTTCAGCCTTTCCTCCTAGATGCTATTATTATCAATATTCCTATTTTACAGAAAAGAGAGTAGAGGCGCAGAAAGGTTAAGTAACTCTTACGAGTTAGCACGTGGGAATCAGGATTGAAACCTGGACGTTGGATTCCAGAACCCACACTCTTAGGCACTAGGTTAGCGGGGATGGAGGGGCGGGGCTTCTTGGCGCTCAGATTCATCCTGGACATCTCTAAGCGTAATTGCCCTCTCCCCGCTCCCCACAAAAAAGTGCAGACGACGGTGGGGGGGGTGGGGAGGGATCTGGATCCCAGCTGGCCTTGCTTGTCACTCTGAAGCCTCCCCAAACACCAGCGCCCAGCTCTCACACTCCACCTCCTTCCTCCCGGTTCCCGCTGACACGCAGGAACCCCCAAACTGCGTGCGGGGTCCCCAGTTACCGGCTCCCGGAGAAAAGAGAGTGGGCATCAGCTCCTCTAGGCTCCTTGCTTAACATCTGTCTGGCCAGTGGCTTGTCTCTGCCCAGTGCTGGCCACAGCTCAGTAGCGAACATTAGGCAGGCTCCCCTGAGGCAGCTGGTAATGCGGGGCAGGCCCCATCCCTCCATCTGTTCATTCATCGGACCTGCTGTTGGAGATGAGGGACCCGGAGAAGCTTTGCACTCTAGCCGACAGTATGAGCCGATATCTACAAGGCTGGGGGATGGGGGGAAGAGGGGGTGGTCCATGACACAGGAATCAGGGAAGGAAGGCTTCATGGAGAAGTGTCACTTGAGTTAAGCCTTAAAGAATTTTTAATAATATCTTTCATTGTCCTCTTCCCTTATTTCAAAAGAATACCTATTCATTAGAGAAAAGTTAGGGCGATAAAAAGAAGAGAAATCACCTTAATCCCTTGACCTAGAGGCAGCCACTCCCGACATTTCAGCAAATAACCTTTCCACTCTTTTTTCTATGCATAAAAGTGGCTGGTGTTTGGTGAGAATTTACTCTGTCAAGCACTTTCATATAGCATGTTTGATCTGGTCTTTACAACTCCAAGGGACTTTAATTTTTTTTTTTAACAAAAATGAAATCATACAGTAGTACATGCTCATTAACTGGTCATTGCAGACTTAATTACATTCTTGAAAAGTTTCAGACATTAAAGAAGAAGCTGGAATCTTCCTAGATTACCTCCCCCATCTCCTTGTGTTTTTAACGTTTTTCATATGTTGTAATCGAATTTGTTTCATCTAACAATATAGTTTGAAAATGTTTCCATGTCATTACACAGTCTTCTATTTTTGATGGCTCTGCCATAATTTAACCAATTTCCCACACAGGCAGCTTTTTTTTTTTGCTATTATCAACAATGCTTCATTAAACATCCTTGTAGCTCAGTCTTTGCATATATCAACAATTATTTCCTTAAGGAAACATTCTGAGAAGTGTAATTGTTGAATTGATCTTAAGCTTTTGTTTGTTTTAATATATTGCCGGATTCTACATCTGTAGGATTTTTATTGAGTCAGATAAAGCATTCTAGGCAGAGAAAATGTCATGAGCAACAAATTAAAGAAAGAAAGTGAAAGGGATGTTCATGGGGAAGCGCCACCAACAAAAGTTCCAGCAATGATGGAAACGGTCTATATCTACAATGTCCACTGTGGTAGTCACGAGCCATATGTGGCCACTGAGCACTAGAAATGTGGTTAACGTGACTGAGCAACTGGAGTTTTGCTTTAATTTAATTTTAGTTAATTTCAATTTAAATAGCCACACGTGGCTAGTGGCTACCATATTGGACAGCAACGGCTCCAGAGGGAAAGGTCTTTTCACTCAATCAGGCAATCGGCTCAGCAAATATTAGGCCCCTTCCGTGTGCCGGGATTATTCTGGGCACTGGGAGATCAGCAAGGACCAGACAAAGTCCTTGTCTTCACGGTGCTTACAGGTAGCGTGGGGAGAAGGACAAGAAACACAAAAGATAATTTCATATGTGAAATTCCAGACATTTACAAAAACAAACAAAGCCAAGTCATGGGTGGAAAGTGACTCAGGTTGAAGGTGGAGACTTCAGGGAGGACCTCTCTGGGGTCTCAGAGTTGGGACCTGAATGACAAGGAGTCAGATCTGCGAAGAGCTGTGGGAAAAGCATTCTAGGCAGAGGGAACAGCAAGCACAAAGGCTCTGAGCATGGCAGGGAGACAGAAGGCCAGCAAGGCTGGAGCTCAATAAAGTGAGAGAGGCTGGCGATGAGAGTGCTCAGTCATTGCGAGGTAGGCAGGGCCGGGTCACGGAGGGCCTCCTAGGCCCTGGCAACTTCTCTTCAGCTATGGAGAACTGAAACCGAGGCTGACCCAGCCCAGTGCACCCAGAACATTCCCGAAGAGATCTTGAGAGCCCCGCCCAGTGCCTGATCCTCTGCAGCAGTGGGGCAGAGGGGAGGGCGGTAACATTCGCCCCACAGAGATTCTTCCTCTATTGAGCTGACGACTTCGGAAGGAGTCCACCACTTCCCCGTCTGCTCTGTGACATCCATTTCAAAACTGGTTTGTTTTTAGACCATATCGCTTGCCAGTCAAAACTTCTATGTGTCCTTCCTCTTGCTCCATATACTAAGAGATAATATATATTTCTCTCAATAAAGAATAAACAATGTTGAGTCCTTCTGAAGGACCAGGCACTGGGCTAGGATCTGGGGGCGCTATGGGGGCATCAGGGCCAGGCCCTGCCCACCTGGCACACAGTCAGCCTGGAAGGGAAGAGACATCCGTCAATGATCCTGTGGATGAGGGTGTAAGTGTAGACCGCGGAAAGGGCTAAGAAGGAAACGTACACACACAGTATTAGAGTGTCTAAGGCAGACTTGACCTAGTCTGGTGGCCCAGGGAGGCAGACGGAAATGAACAGTAATAATAACAAGAGCAAGCCCTACACAGCACTTACTCTTCTAATCCCTCTGCACGTGGTAATTCATGTGATTCTCACAACACCCCTAGCAGGAGGGTTCTCTTATTATACCCATTTTACAGATGAGGGAAAGGTTAATGTCAAGGCCACCCAGAGGTTAGTGGCAGAGCCAGGATTTGGACCCAGGGAGTCTGGGTCAAGTCCATGCGTGAATCCACTCTGTTGTGGCTCTCTAGAGAGAGATCCCAGAACAGAGAAGAGGCACCCTCCTGCTTTAGATACGTCCAGAGTAGGCTTGACTGTCCGCTGTCTTTCCCCTTCCCAGACACCCAGGAACTGCCCCATTCCTACTGCATTGTCACTGACAACCACCTCGCTGCTGTGAGTTGCCTGGGTAGACGGGGAGGGCATCGCGCTGAGGGAACACACAGCCTGGCCCTGGGGAGATCAAGGAAGGCTTCCTGGAAGAGGTCACAGCAGAGCTGAGTCATGAAGGACAAGAGGCCCTTTCACCGGGCAAAGGGTGTGGAGGATGTTTGAGGAGGAAGCAGCATATGCAAAGGCCTGGAGGGAGCACTGAATGTCTGAGCTACTGCAGGACGAGAGGGTGAAGGGTCTGGGAGCCAACCAAAGCATAGCCCACCATCCAGGAGACTGAGACCCTGGAAGTGGGTTAGACAAATGCCCGAATGCCCACCTGCTTCTCCCACTAGAGGCCATAATGAGAGCAGATAAACAAACAGCAATGCTACAGACAGACGGAGCTCTACAAGAAGACTCTTGCATTTTGACATTCAATGACAAAATAAAAAACCAGGGCTGGTAATGCCCTTGGAAGTGCAGATATGGCCTTCTGGATTTCTACCATGCTCCTCCCTGCAATAATCCTTTGGTTCAATCTGCTGTTCCCCCAACACCAGCATTCATGATAAAACCCGTTCTTGTTTAGTTTGATGGTTTCCCGTTTTGTGTTATGATCCACCGCATCAGAGTTGTCCTCTGCAATTTAATCTTCACAAATGTCCCATGTTTGTGCTGCACAGCCTCCAAAGGCTTTGGTGGGTAGCCTGAGAATTACACCACCACGAGCATCCACATTTGTAACAGAAAATGCATTTGGAGTTCTGAAGAACTGACAGCGACCAACGACATTTTGGAACCCAATTTACAAAAGCATCTACTGCACAGTGCTAGGTGCATATCTTGGGCCAAATAGAAACTCTTTGGGATAACTACTTTTATCACTCCCACTTTACAGGTGAGGAAACTGAGGGCCTAAGAAACTTGCCTAAGTCATAGAGCTGGTAAGTAAGATTCGAACCCAGGCCATTTGATTCCAAACTCTCTGGTGGGTTGTTTTTTTTTTTTTTTTTGGTGAGGAAGATTGGCCCTGAGCTAATATCTGTTGCCAATCTGCCTCTTTTTGCTGAGGAGGATTGGCTCTGAGCTAACATCTGTGCCCATCTTCCTCTATTTTGTATATGGGACGCCGCCACAGCATGGCTTGATGAGCGGTGTGTCAGTCTGCGCCCGGGATCCGAACCTGTGAACCCCGAGCTGCTGAAGCAGAGCGTGTGAACTTAACCAGTATGCCACCAGGCCGGCCCCTGGGGCTTTTTTTTAATCAATTTTATTGAGGTATAATATTCATTCAAAAAAATGCATCTTTTTCCTCTATTTTTAAAATTGAGGTCATTCCAGATTCCCACGTAGTTGTAAGAAATAATTCAGAGAGATCTTGTGTACCTATTGCTTACTTTCCTCCAGTGGTAACATCTTGCAAAACTGTAATACAATATTACAACTAGGATTTTTTTCCACTTTTTTTGGTGGTAAATTATACATAAAATTTACTCCTTTAACTATTTTTAGGCGTACAATTCAATGGCATTATGTACCTTCACACTGTTGTGCAACAATCGCCACTGTCCATTTCCAGAACATTTTTATCATCCCAGACGAAAACTCTGTACCCATTACATGCTAACTTCCCTTTCCCCACTTCCCCCAGCCCCTGCCAGGTCTCATTCTGCTTCCTGTCACTATAAATTTGCCTGTTGTAGGTACTTCATATCAGTGGAATTGCACAATATTTGTCCTTTTGTGTCTGGCTTATTTCACTTAGTATAATGTTTTCCAGGTTCATCCATATTATAGCATGTACCAGAATTCCATTCTTTTTTAAGGAAACAGTATTTCATTTAATATTGTTTAAGGAAACAATATTCCATTGTCTGGATATACCACATTTTGTTTATTCATCTGTTGATGGACATTTGGGTTGTTTCCACATTTGGGCTGTTGTGAAAAATGTTCCTGTGAACACAGGTGTACAAGTATCACTTTGAATCCCTGCTTTCAATACTCCCAGGCTATTGACATTGGCACAATCCACTGATCTTCAGACTTCTCCAGTCTGATCCACTGATCTTCAGACTTCTCCAGTTACTCGGATCCATTTGTGTGTGTGTGTGTGTGTATGTGTGAAGGTCTGTGCAGTTTTATCATATGTGTAGGTGTACGTATCTACCACCAAGGTCAACCTACTGAACTGCCCCGACACAAGTTACTCCTTCATAATCACGGCCACCTCCCTCTCCACCCCCCGCCTCACTCCCCTCTACCTAGTGGCAACCACTAATCTGACCTTCATTTCCAAAATTTTGTCATTGCAAAAATGTTATATAAACGGAACCATCCAGTACGTAACCTTTTGAGATTGACTTTTTTCACTCAGCATGATTTCCTGGAGATTTGTCCATGTTATTCTGAGCATCAGTGGTCTGTTCCTTTTATGGCTGGGTAGTAATCCATGGTTTGTACCACAGTTAATTTAACCACTTTCCTGTCGAAGGACATCTGGGCTAATTCTAGTGTTTTTCTATTCCAAATAAAGCTGCTATAAACATTCACACACAGGTTTTTGTATGAACATAAGTTTTCATTTCTCTAGGATAAACGCCCAGGAGTGTATTCTATAGTTGAATATCCCATGGTTTGGTTAACCATTCACCTGTTGAAGGACAAAACGGATTGTTTCCTGTTTGGGCTGTTGTAAATAAAGCTGCTATAAAAATTCGTGTGTGGATTTTTGCATGAACATAAATCATCATTTCTCTGGGAAAAATGCCCAGGAAGGCAGTTGCTGGATCATATGCCAGGTGCATCTTTAGTTTTTCAAGAAATTCCCAAACTGTTTCCAGAGAGGCTGTACCATTTTACATCCCCACCAGCAACGTACGCGTGATCTCGTTTCTCCACATCCTCGCCAACATTTGGTGTTGTGACTATTTTTTATTTCAGCCATTCTGATAGGGGTGTGATGGTACCTCATCATGATTCTAATTTGCATTTCCCTGATGGCTAAGGATGCTGAACATCTTTTCATGTGTTTGCCATCCGTACACCCTGTTTGGTGAAACGTCTGGTCATGATTTTTGCCCATTTCTAGTTGGATTGTTTGGTTTTTTACTGTTGAGTTTTAAGAGATTTTCCTATTTCTAGATACTGGTCCTTTGTCAGATATGTGGTTTGCAAATATTTTTCTCTGAGTCTTTAGTTTGTCTTTTCATCCTCAACAGGGTCCTTCGCAGAGCAAAGTTTTTAATTTTGATAAGGTCCAACTTATCAGTTTTTCCCTTTATGGATCATGCTTTCAGTGTCAAGTCTAACAAATCTTTGTCTAGTCCTAGATCCTGAAGATTTTTTCCTACTTTTTTTCTAAAAGTTTTATATTTATGGTTAAGTCTGTGATCCATTTTGAGAAAGTTGGGCTTCATGAAATTTCACCCCATGCACGCAGGGTTCAGTGGTCAGCGATAGCTCCAGGTCCACGGGGCCTGCTATGCCGACTTCTGGACTTCTAGCTCCCGTAGCTTCCTGCTCTCTGAGACTCTGCCCAGAACCTCTGCTCTTTTTGTTTTTTTCTAATTTTATTGAGGTCACATTGGTTTATAACGTCATATATATTTCAGGTGTACATCATTGTGTTTCGACTTATGTATAGACTACATCGTGTTCATCACCAAGAGTCTGGTTCCTATCCATCACCATAGATTTGTGCCCTTTGACCTCTTTTGCCCTCCCCCACCCCTTTCCCTTCTGGTAACCACCAATCTGTTCTCCTTATCTATGTTTTAGAATCTCGGCTCTTTTTTTTTTTTTTATGGCGAGGAAGCCTGTCCCGGAGCTAGCATCTGTGCCTATCTTCCTCTATTTTGCACGTGGGATGCCACCACAGCATGGCTTGATGAGTGGTGTGTAAGTCCACACCGGGATCCGAGCCTGCGAACTGCAGGCGGCCAAAGCAGAGGGCACTCACTTAACCACTATGCCACCGGGCCGGCCCCACGAACCTCTGCTCTTAGCCATTAAACGTACTGCCTCTTCTGCAAGTGAGAAGGTATGTGGGGAATTGATCGGTCATTAATCATTTACCCTTACTGAGTTCCTAACTATAGGTAAGCCCCCACAAAAGATGCAGAGGAAGACATGTGTCTTAGCCAGGGTTCTCCAGAGAAACAGAACCAACAGAAAATACATGGACAGATAGATAGATAATAAGGAATTTGCTCACGCGAGTGTGGAGGTTGAGAAGTCCCAAGATCTGCAGGCTGGAGACCCAGGAGCCCATGGTGTGCATCGTTCCAGGGCGAGCCTGAAGGCCTGAGAACAGGAGAGCCAATGGCGGAAGCTCCAGTCCAAGCCAAGTCTGAAGGCAGAAGGCCTATACCCCGGTTCAAAGACAGGCAGGCGGAGAGAATCCCTTACTCAGCGTTTGTTCTGGTCAGGTCTTCAGTCGGTTGGCTGAGGCCCACCCACGTTGGGGAGGGCAATCTGCTTGACTCAGTCTACCGATTCAGATGTTAATCTCCTCCAGAAAGACCCTCACAGATACACCCAGAATGTTTGACCAAATACCCGTGGCCCAGTCAAGCTGACACGTAAAATGAACCATCACAACCTCCTACCCCGACCCCAAACCCAGCCATTGCCACATGAGCCCACGGTGATGATTGGGAAATGTGTGCAAACCCCCGAGGTCACGGATGGCGACGGCACCTTGAGCAATAGGATTGCAGTGACAAACCATGATGCTGCTCTCTCCTCTAGACCATCATTCACCCCTCTTCCCGCACCCCCACCCCTCCAGTCTCTCCAGCCTCCCGCGTCAACGAGGAGCCAGGAAACCGCCTGCCACCCCCCACTCTGGTTCCAAGCGTTGGCTCAAGTTGTTGACTCAACATGGGGATACATCAGATCCTGGATAAGGCCTGGGATCTGCCCCATTTCCTCTGGGTCCTGAGATCTCGGACTTTAGATTTGGAAACCCCATGACAAGTCAGGTTTCGCATCTTCTTGGAAGAAAACGAAGGCTATGAGATAGAGGGCCTGAGTGGACATGGGACGGAGAAGACCCTGAGGGAGGGAAGTGGAGGAGAACAGGAGCTGGCAAGGAGAAACTGGGAGCTGGACTAGGCTTGTCCATCATTTATCCAGAGGTTACAGACTGATAACCCTCTGGTGGAATCCAGACCATAGCAATGTTTTGTTTAGATTACACAGTATTTTCAATTTTTTTGAGCCTAGTATTCAAAAAGCATATGTTGTATAAAATTCTAAATTTTCCAGCGTCCTTGATGAATAAAGAGATATGGTGACAGTGGGCCCACATTCCCACATGACAATTGGCTGGAACTCTGTAGTCACTGCCCTCTTATGCATAGGTAGAGTAAATGACCTCTGTTTTGCTACAGTCTCCACTACTCCCTATTATCCCCCGACACTGAGGCTCAGCATCATTTGTCATATAACACTGAGCTGGCACTGTTTTTCTTGCTCCCAACCTGTCTCATAGTTTATCTTACCTGCCTGGCCTCCTTGGGCACCTCAATTTTTGACCTCTTAGCTAGTCTGAGCCCTTCATTTAACAGAAGAAACAAGCTCGGAGAGAGGACATGATCTGGGGACAATCTCAAGAGAATCAGTGGCAGAATCAGGACCAGGATTCCAGGGCCCCTTTTTTCTGAGGATCTCCTTGGCCTGAATCTTCAATTCAAGCCCAGATGGTCTTTTCCTCTGAGGCGTTCAAGGGGAAACTGAGGCCTGGGTAACCTCCAATTAGACCAACCAGTGGCCATGGGACTCCAGATTGAAAAGGAGAAGAGTCTGACTGTTTGTGTAGGTGGGGAGGGCAGTCATGTGACCTGGACATGCATGCCCAAGTGGCAGGAAGCGTCTCGAAATCAGAGCTAACTTAGGAGGCACAGAATGTGGGCCCTTGGAAGAGAGCCAGAGATATTGTAGGGTTCACGCCAGGAGGAAAATGAAAGTCTCCACTGTGGCCAACCAGCCACTTCCACCCGAGCCGGCCACTTCTGCCTTTGGAAAGTGTTTCACAATGCCCACGTTTGCGAGGACAGCGAGCTCAGCTGAGGATGGGTAAGAGGGTGTGGGTTCGCACACTCATAGGCATCAGCCCCAGACAGGGAGCATGGGCTGAGGAACTGCCCAGCACGCCGGTCACACGCAGAGAGTGCCAGAGCCCGCCGTCCCCATGACAGGTGAGTAGCCCCCTCCAGGGACAGAGCCTGGATGCAGGGTGGGGTGACAGAGAGTCAGGGAGGCCAAGGAAGCCCCTGGTCCCCCATGGGAGTCCCGGACCTGACCCAATTCTGGACACCAGCCTGAGGTTGAGCTCTTTGCATCCGTAAGGGCACAGCATCTCCTCTGTCCAATCTCGGTGCATTTGGAGCCCGTAAGCTTCCTTGGCTGCTGGAGGAGGCAAGGGTGATGCCAAGGGCACACGCATGGGCGTCAGCTTGCCCTCCTCAGAGCCCAGTGTCCCTCTCCCCACCCTTTGTGGAGAGAGATCTGGATTTGGGAAGGAGAGTTTCCTTCTGAAGGAAAATTCTGAAGGCGCCACTTCCCATACACTTTCTGGAACGTTTGGTAGAGGGATGGAGGTGATGGACCCAAGATGGGAGTCAAGGGGCCCTGTTCGGTTGGGCCTTGATTTCTCCACTTCACCAGGAGGCGGTAGGGGAGGAGGACAGATGGTTTTAGCCCTGGGCCGCCAGAGAGAAGCAGGTCACTCACCACGCCTCATGGGGCCCTTTGCAGGTGACAGCGGACCCCAAAGGCTAAGCAGGCCCAGCTATGGCTCCATTTCCACCCCACCCAGCCCAGAGCAACAGCAAGCGCCTCCCGGGGGGACCTACCTGAGTGAGAAGATCCCCATCCCGGACACAGAGCCGGTGGGAATGCTGGAAACATCCTGGGGTCTCTCAGGGTTGACGGGATCGTGTGGGATCTCACAGGCTGAGGGAGGGAGATCTCCTGAAGACCATGGCAAGTCCCTTCCAGCTCTGAGCAGTGGTGACGGACAGTAGCAACTGCCCCCTTCCTTCTTCTGTCCCCAGTGCTTAGCTGGGGTGCTCATTATTTGTCTGAAAATTATCAAGTGGCTTTCTGAATGAATCTTAGCTTTCCTGTGAAGGGAAAAAGGGGCGTGGGGTAAATTAGGGTGGAGCCTCGAGGCTCTGTTGTAGCATTAAAGGAAAGGACCAGACGAGGGCATTGGGAGAAGTGACGGGGGCTGCAGGCTGGCTTTTCGGATGCTGTCACCCTGCATTTCCAGAATCTTTAGCAGATGTCCAGGCTGCCACCCAAGCCCTGGATTGGGAGTGGGGAGACTCTAGGCTCAGTGGACTCGAGAGAGAGGAGAGCCTGATGGTCTGAGAAGGGGCTGGAGAGGGAGAAGCCAAACCAGGAGTCTTGACCCCAGGAAAGCCCCCCTTCGGGCTCTGAGGATCTGCTGAGTCAGAGCTTGCACAATGCAGGCCCGTCAGGTGCAGGCAGGCTGCCAATCAGGACAGAAAGAGGACCCACTGTGACTCAGCAAATTCTGCTAGTTCCTCCCATCCTGCACCCTCCACTAACCCCCCAGGGGTAGCAGCTCCAAGAATGGGGAATGGAGGGCACGGCTGGCCAGCCTGGGGTGATGAGCTCATTGGGGCGCACCTGGGAGCCGGCCATGGCCAGCTGCTACCTCCTCAGGAACCCCTCACTCTGCTCCCACCTGCAGGGCACGTTCAGCCTGCGGAAGCTGTGGGCCTTCACCGGGCCTGGCTTCCTCATGAGCATCGCTTTCCTGGACCCAGGAAACATCGAGTCGGATCTTCAGGCTGGCGCTGTGGCTGGATTCAAAGTGATTGACGCAGGGCATCGTGGGGAGCGGGGCGACCAGACTAAATGGGTGGAGACCCCCAGCTCGCCACATATCCCCAGAGTGGCCTGCATGACTGGTGTTCCTGGGAGCAAGTGTTAAGTTCAAATGGGAAAGAAAAGTGTGGGGGGTATGGGGGGTGGTCTTCTCGCTCCATCTCCCCCACTGTCTCCCTAAAGAGTGTCCTTGGTTAGAGGTACCACCAGCCCAGGGGTTATCAGAGACTGGCCCCTCTGGCTGAAGGCCCCTCCCTGCCTTCCCACAGTTGCTCTGGGTGCTGCTGTGGGCCACGGTGTTGGGTTTGCTCTGCCAGCGACTTGCTGCCCGGCTGGGAGTGGTGACTGGCAAGGACTTGGGCGAGGTCTGCCATCTCTACTACCCTAAGGTGAGCTTGGTGGGCCGGGACAGGAAGCACCCACAGGCCCCAAACCCCAAACAGCCATTTACAGCTTCCGTGGTTGAACAAATACATCATCTCAAGTGGGGCACCACAAGCCCATTTGATAGATGAGAAGAACTGGCACCAAACGAAAGTGGGTTCGCTTCTTGGTGAGTTGAAATCAGAGCCTTCACCAGAAGTAGTTGTCACACAAAGTAGAATTTATTTGCAGCAAATAAGAGACCACGGGGAATTATTTCCAAAGCCGTGGCTCCCCGAGCATGGGAGAGCAGGGGCCTTTTCTTTCAGATGGGGAATGAATATTCAAAAGGGAGAGGAGGGTATTCACTTTGCAGGCGCAGTTTGAAAACATGCTTCCACATACATAGCATGTTATGGTAATAAGGCCTAGGCTCCTCCTGGGGCGGCGATCTTAACATTAAAATGAAGCAAAGGTAACTCTTGGGCACTTCTCGGCCCATCTGCACAGGCGTCTTCTTGCCGTGAGGTTTGGACGGTTCAGGGCGGTTGGTGATTGCATCTCTTAACGTAACCAAAAAAACAATTTGGAGAAACAGTTAAGGACTTCAGAAACCTCCTTTGAGTTACTCGAGGCAGTTCGCCGGTGACAGAATGAGGCTCAGACCAATAGCCCACAGACTGGGTGCCCTGCTTATTTACAGGAGGGAAAATTGACACCTGGGGAAGTGACTTACCCAAGACAAAAAATCAGCTGGGGTGAACACTGGGGACAATGGCTGTTGTCAGCGTCCAGGCAGGAAAACAGAAATTACACCACTAGCTATTTCTAAGATATTTAAAATGCAGGGATGTAGTCGCAAAAGTGTTGGAAGGGCCGGAGGAGCAAGGGAAGGAGGTGTTACCCAGCGATCAGAAAGCCGCTGGGCAGGAGGCCGAGGGCCATCATTTGCTGCCGAGCTTCTGGAAGCATTGCTGCCACTGCCAAAGTGGCCACCAGTGCTGCTGGAGCCCAGGTTGCCTGGTGCCACTGCCAGAAACACCACCAGAAGCGGGGGAAAATGATTTTCCCTGCCTTTCAACCTCCCGCAAGTGTTTCCCACGAAAGCTAACTGGAAGCCAGCTGGCAAGCCGTCTTACAAACACAGTTTGCAGGCTTCCAGCCCAGCAGTATAGGGCCAGGTATGGAAAGGTGAGTGCAGGGCTGAGACCACAGACAGACAACTGACCCAGCCTTTTTTGTGTGTGTGTGAGGAAGATCAGCCCTGAGCTAACATCCATGCTAATCCTCCTCTTTTTGCTGAGGAAGACCGGCTCTGAGCTAACATCAATTGCCAATCCTCCTCCTTTTTTTCCCCAAAGCCCCAGTAGATAGTTGTATGTCATAGTTGCACATCCTTCTAGTTGCTGTATGTGGGACGCGGCCTCAGCATGGCCAGAGAAGCAGTGCGTCGGTGCGCGCCCAGGGTTCCCAACCCGGGCCACCAGTAGTGGAGCGCGCGCACTTAACCGCTAAGCCACGGGCCGGCCCTGACCCAGCCTTGATGAAGGGTTACCTCCTCTGCTAGCTGCCCCGCACCCTTCTCTGGCTGACCATCGAGCTGGCCATCGTGGGCTCGGACATGCAGGAGGTCATCGGCACGGCGATTGCATTCAGCCTGCTCTCAGCTGGACGGTACTGCCCCGAGGGGCCCCTGCTCTGCGGTGCAGGGCTGGGAACAGCTATTACCTCTTCCCGGGACCTGGTACTTGCCTGTGTCCATTTCATCCTGCAGTCCCCTCTGACTCAGAGCAGTTGCCCAATTTACCAGATGGGGGAACAGGGACCCACAGAGATCAGTCACCATGCAGGCTTCAGGACTGCAGCCCAAGCTCCCTGCCGTGCGGGTCCCACACCCAGCTCCGCCCTTCCCCTCCAGTTCTGTGCCATTTTCCCGCCTCCAGCACGCTCCCACTCCCCTCCCCCATAGCTGGCTGGGGCCACTCGGGTCCCCCACAGTCTCCAGCCCTGAGTGTGGGTGATCTGGACCCCGGACCAGGCCAGGCTGACCCAGGCCACTCTGGTTTCAGAATCCCGCTCTGGGGTGGCGTGCTCATCACCATCGTGGACACTTTCTTCTTCCTCTTCCTCGACAACTACGGTGGGTGTGCCCCTCGTCGCAGGGACACGGAGATGCTCTGCTGTGCTGGCACGGGCCCTCAGCTCCCTCCCTCTGGCCCGTGGCCTTGCGCAAGTTACTCAGACTTGTTTCAAATTACTCAGACTTGTTTCTTCATCCGTAATGCGGGGAAATAATAGCACAGACGACATCGGGCTGCGGTGAGGATTCTCCGGGGTATTATGTTAAGCAATTGGCACGGGGCCTGGAACAAAGCGCTCAAGACACTCGCCATTAGCAATTGCTTCTGTTACAATTCTGGGGTATTTTTGTGCTGCCCCTTTGCTCTCCCCCCAGGACTGAGGAAGCTGGAAGCCTTTTTCGGATGCCTTATTACCATTATGGCCTTGACCTTCGGCTACGAGGTGCGAAGCCAGACCCAACACCCCCCGCCCCTCCCCCGGGGCCCCCTGCAGAGCCCGATGGGCGGGGCCACAGCCTTTAGCCACGCCCCGGCCGCCGGCGTCCGGGCGGAGGGTGAGAGCGGCGGCGCAGGGGCGGGGCTCGGCCTGACCAGGCTCCTCCCCACAGTACGTGGTGGCACGTCCCGCTCAGGGGGCGCTTCTCCAGGGCCTGTTCCTGCCCTCGTGCCCCGGCTGCGGCCAGCCCGAGCTGCTGCAGGCCGTGGGCATCGTCGGCGCCATCATCATGCCTCACAACATCTACCTGCACTCGGCCCTGGTCAAGGTGAGCAGAGGGCGGGAAAGGGAGACACGCCCACTCCCTTAGAGCCCCGCCCCCAGGCCTGGAGCCCCGCCCCTGTGGTTCCTGCCTCCGTGATTTTAGGCGGGAAGTGAAATCATTCTCTGTGTATTCAATATATAACAATAGAGCGTCTACTGCGTGCTAGGAGCTGGGGGTCAATGATGAAAAGATGGGCAATCCTCTGCCTTCCTCGAGCTCGCATTCTAGTGGGGGAGACAGACCACAAGCAAATACACAAATAAAGGAAAGAATTATGCATTGTGAAAGATGCTCTGAAGAAAACAAATCAGAGAAGTATGATATGATAGAGAATGACTGAGTTAGGAGCTACTTTCAAAAAGGTAGTCAGGAAAGGCCTTTCTAAGGAGGTGATCTCTGGGACATGAAGGATGTGAAGGAAGATGGGGGAGAAGATATTCTAAACAGAGGGAGCAGCAAGTGCAAAGGCCCTGAGGCAGAAATAAACTGGGCATGTTTGAGGATGGAGCCTGGTGAATGAAGGGGAGCAGGTGAGGGGCTGAGGTAGAGAGGGGCAGGGGCCAGGTCACAAGGGACCTCAAAGGCCCATCTTCCTTCATTCACACAGTTGGTCACTGTGGAGCAGGCCTCTGGGCAGAGGTGTAGGAAGGGCCTGTCCTAGACTGCCATGTCAGGGGCTTTAGAAGGAACTGGGGCTTGGGGGGGACCCCAGGTAGAGGTGTGAGGGTGGAGGATGTTGGAGTGGCCCTGAGGGACTTTGGCTCTTTCCTCCCCTTTGACCTCCGTAGTCTCGAGAGATAGACCGGGCCCGCCGGGCGGACATCCGAGAAGCCAACATGTACTTCCTGATCGAGGCCACCATCGCGCTGTCCGTCTCCTTTTTAATCAACCTCTTTGTCATGGCCGTCTTTGGGCAGGCCTTCTACCAGCAAACCAACCAGGCCGCGGTGAGGCACGCTCCCCACACACCGACGGCCCGCCCCCCACACATGGCCCACAGGCTGTGCTGGGGACCCCAGGCCATGCAGCCAAGCCCTTTGAGGCTCTGCCCTGCGCTCCAGGCACCGTAGGGGAGGCAGTCTGTGACCCTGGCCTCTGGCTGGGAGCCCCTTCCGACCCCACTGGGGAGACACAGCCCCTCCCAGGCGGGCACTTAGAGGGTCAGATCCTCATCAGGGGCTGCAAGGCACAGACGTCCCAGGGAGGTGACTGGGAGGGAGGAGCAGAGTCTTGGAGGACCCAGCTGTCCAGCTGAACCTCGAGGGATGAGCCGGACTTGCCCGGCAAACTGCAGATGGGGCGTTCTGGGGGGAGGTCTGGCCTGAGCGTGAGCCTGGAGGTGGGAATGTGCGGGGTGGTCATTCTCTTTCCTGGGCCCCCTCTCCTGATAATCTTCATAGTTAGCAGATAAACCATCATTCATCCAGCAAATATTTCCTGCATTTGTTATATATCAGGCAAGTCCTAGACCCTGGGGACATAGCAGTGAAACAAAGACCCTGCCCTCCTGCGGCTTCAATTTGGAGGGTGGTGAGCAGACAGGAAACAAATCAACAAAGCAGTACAAAGGGGAAGAGTGTGAACAAGGCAATAAGAGGGTGATGGAACATAATTGGGGGTGTGGTGAGGGAGGGTTTGAGCAGGGGACATCTGAGCTGACTCACAGAGAGAAGGAGCGGCCAGCTTCTGCCTGGCTCTCTGGGATTTGGGACCTGTGCCTGTCTCCCTTTCTGAGTGGGTCTCTGTCCCGAAGCTCTAACAACCGTTAGCCAGTGTTGGGCGCTTACAGAATGCTGGGCACTGTGTGGGGGAGGGCTGGCCAGGCCTCCAGGGACCGGGGCACTGCCACTGCCTTGCTATGTGTGACCTTGGGAAGTCACACCCCTCCCTGGGTCTCACTCTGCTCCTTGGCACAAGGAGAGAGGTCTAAATAAGGATGGCCGATCCGTGTCTTCAAGACCAGGCGGGTCGCAGAGCTGTGGGAAGTGGGTCGGGTGTAAGGGGAGGGGACTGTGGGACAGCCTGTGTCACTGCCAGCCAATCGTCTCTCTGTGGTAATGCCAGCTCTTACAAATCCAAGAGAAGCAGGAAACCTGGTGCTCATGTGAATTCTTCTCCATCGTAAACGTTAGCAACAAATTCACATTAAAGAAAAAAAAATTTAGCCAAAGTGCGTCTGGCAGGATTCAGCCCGCGGGCCACCAGTTTTCCATCCCTGGTCAAGGCCTGGTGGTCTGATTTTCCGAGACTGAGTGTGCGCTTCACATCTCCCTCCTCCTGCCCCGGTGCCCGCAGTTCAACGTCTGTGACAACAGCAGTCTCCACGACTACGCCAAGATCTTCCCCAGGAACAACCTGACAGTGACCGTGGACATTTACCAAGGAGTAAGCACGCGGCACGAGGGGGCGGGGAAGGGCGTGCTCCCCCCGGCTCGGCGCCACGCCCACCTGGGGCGGAGCCTCCGCGGGGAGGGGCGGGGCCACGGGCCTGACCACACCCCCCTCTCCAGGGCGTGATCCTGGGCTGCCTTTTCGGCCCCGCCGCCCTCTACATCTGGGCGGTGGGTCTCCTGGCGGCCGGGCAGAGCTCCACCATGACCGGCACCTACGCGGGACAGTTTGTGATGGAGGTGGGGCCTGGGGCGGGCCGGGGAGGCCCAGGGGTCCGAAGTCAACAAGCGCACTACTGGGGGCTCGGACAGGGCCTCGCTGATCCTTAAAGCAGCCCAGAGGGTGCCCTTATAAGCCCCCCTTTACAGATGAGAAAACCGAGATTCAGAGAGGTGACGCAGCTGGCCTGAGGTGCAGACCCAGGACTAATAGGAGCATTTTCCCCAAAACTGTTTAGTCCTCACAATCAGCTGTGGGAGGAGACCCCCCCCATTTCTCCCCATGCATCCCCTCTCCGCCACCTACGGACAGAGCTGCCCTCATTTCAGAGATGGAAAAGCAGAGGGTTCCCCGAGGCGTGAGATGGGCTGAGGGACGACAGAGGGTCCCGCTCTGGAATCCCCAGTCCTGACCCCGCCACCAAGGTGCCCCCCCGCCCCACCCCAGGGCTTCCTGAAGCTGCGGTGGTCGCGCTTCGCCCGCGTCGTCCTCACTCGCTCCTGCGCCATCCTGCCCACCGTGCTCGTGGCCGTTTTCAGGGACGTGAGAGACCTGTCAGGCCTCAACGACCTGCTCAACGTGCTGCAGAGCCTGCTGGTGAGCCGGTCCCTATCACCTGCCCCCTGCGGAGCTGAACAGGAACCACAACAATGCCCCATACAGAGCATCCTCCTTCCCTCCCGGGCACTATTCTAAACTCACCTGCCTGCAAGGCTCGCATAATCCCCACAGCCACCCCAGGGGGCGGGAACCATCATTACCCCCATTTTCCAGATTGGAAAACTGATGCACACAGTTAAGTGCCCAGTGGCAGAGCTGGATTCAAACTCAGGCACCCTGGGACCAGAGCCCCAAACACTTGCTCCTGCTTTGGAGCCCCCCGCAATCTTGGAAGGCAGAGAGGTGGAGAAACTGAGGCTCAGAGTGGTCAGGAGATTGCCCAAGGGCACACAGCCAGGCAGAGGATGACCGGAGCCCCGGCCTCGCTGTTTTCCGAGGGCAGGGTCCCTCAGTCCATCCTCCCGCTTCTCCCCAGCTTCCCTTCGCTGTGCTGCCCATCCTCACGTTCACCAGCATGCCGGCCATCATGCAAGAGTTTGCCAATGGCCTGTGAGTACTCCCCGTCCCAAGCACTGGTACGGCATTTGAATTATGGCATTTGATCCTCACAGCCCCCCAGAGGTAGGAATTACCATTATCCCTGAGATAAGCTCAGAGAGGTTAAGGAACTTGAACAGGGTCACACAGCTAGCAAGTCGGGGAGCCAGGACTGGAATCCGGGGGTGGGCGCTGTTTCTGGAGCCTGAAAACCCTCATTTCAGACCCTGCTCTTGCCAAATCCTGCCAGTGTGCAGCCTGGAGGGCCTGGGAGGCAGAAGTGGGTAAAGGGTCGCTCCCCGCCCCAGCTCTGGGCTGGCTGTGGGCACTGGAAAGGAGGAGGAGCAGGAGATGCAGCTCGTTCTGAGCCTCCCTCCTGTCCCCAGGCTGAGCAAGATCATCACTTCCTCCATCATGGCGCTGGTCTGTGCCATCAATCTCTACTTCGTGGTCAGCTACCTGCCCAGCCTCCCCCACCCCGCCTACTTCGGCCTTGTAGCCCTGCTGGCCGCAGTCTACCTGGGCCTCACCGCCTACCTGGTACTGTAGGGGCCGCGGGGGCCGCGAGGACAGGCGGCAGCGGACGGAGGGCGTGGGAGGGGATGCGCTGGGGCTTCCCCGGAGATCTTGTCCTCTCCGCCACTCACTGTCGCCCCTCCCCCAGGTCTGGACCTGTCTCATCGCCCACGGGGCCACCCTTCTGGCCCACAGCTCCCACCGACAATTCTCATACGGGCTTCCCGAGGAGAAGCCGGAGCCCTCCGGATGAACGACCCCCCGGGCCCGGCTGCGGGGCGGAATGAGTGGGGCGGACTGGCCTGCTGGTTGTGGGGGTGGGGCGGGGTGAAGGCAGCAAGACGGAGTGGGCCAACGTGGGTTCCATAGGGACCTACTGTTTTCTGTCTTGGATGAGTGATTAACCTCCAGGTTTCCGTATCCCCGTCTGTAAAATGGGGACAACGCCAACCCTGCGGTGAACGTACAGCACTTTAACACAGTACCTGGCACTTGAGACTTAAAAAATAAAAATCATTCCAAAAGTATTTATTGAGCACCTATAGGAGGGACCTGACAGACTGCCCCGGGGGGGAAGGGACACAGGCTCTAAACTGGCACTGTCTGACGAATGCTACATAAATTCTGGTTCACGTCTTGTCCAGAAAAGCAGGGAAATGTCTGGTTTGCTCTTACTCTCGCTGGAGTGGCCTCAGCCATTCTGTTCCACCCGCAACCCATTTTCCAGGCAGTAAAATCGAGGCGCGGTTCTCCCTCCTTCAGGCGCCGGGTCATAAGGAACCCAAGAGTCCGTGCCTCCGAGGCCCAATTCATTTGTCATCTCCCCAGGGGACCGGCGGCCGGGACTCCCACGCGCGCAGTTAGCGCTCCCTGGGCGCTGACTCCCAGCTCCCCCTAGGGGCAGGGACGGTCCCGAGCGCCGGCACTCCCCGCCTCGGCCTCACCCCTCCCAGCCAAAGAGGAGGAGGCGGGCGCTCCGGCCTCGCGCCCTGAGGCCTCGGAATCCGCCCAGGCCGGGGGCGGGGGGGGGGTGCTGTGTGGGCGGGGAACCCCCTCGACCGCTGGGAGCCGCCCGGCACCCCTTCGCCCGGTGCAGGGGCTGTACTTTACAGACGCTCCCTGGGCTGTTTCTAGGCTCCCCCAAGTCCCTCCTCCAGCCTCTTCCCGTCCCTCGGACCCCAGCCCCGGAGCTGCGGAGAGCGGCAGCGGGTAGGGGCCGCCGAGCCTTTCCCCCGGGTTGAGCCTGGAGCGGGCGCTGTGCCTGGAAGCACCCCCGATTTGCCAGGGATCCGGCGGGGCGAGCTCCGCGCTCAGGTTGGGGCGCTTGTTTATGAGAAGAATTTCCTCTTTCTTAAAAGGGCAACGTTGCGAGTGGGGCCCTCAAGGAGGGACGGGATGGACAGGTCTGGGTCCACCAGAGCAACGGCGGGAGAGGGTACCTGGGCGAGACGGCCGCCCAGTCCCCTTCTCCGGGTTGGCCCTGGAGAAGATAGGGCCCACACGAGATAAAGGAGGGGATAGATGGGGGCTGGGTAGTGGAGAAAGGCATCTCCTAGATCCTTCTGCTTCCTGCAGGTGCCCCCAGCTGTACCCCCTGCACATCCCTGTGGGTGGGCACCAGTCTTGTGCTAGACGTGGGGGAGAGAGGCAAAGTCCCGAATTAAAGATGTCAGCTCTCAAGGAGCTCACACTCCAGTGGGGGAAGACAGCTATGTAAACGACACAACAAATCACTATATGGTGTGATAGGGGGACAACCCAGGTGCGTGTCGGGGACACCTGGAAAGAGTGAGGCGGAAGCCAGAGAAGCTAACTCCTGGACAGGATTTCGAAAGCAGAATAGGAAGGGGGCATGCCAGGGGGGAGGAGCATGGCAGGGGTGGAGGGGGAGCTGTGTGTGCAAACGTGTAAAGACATGCCACCTTGTGGGGCATTCTTAGATCTTGTGGAGCAGGATGGGGGACCCCAGAAGAAGGGTAGGCTGGTCATATGAACAGTTAAGCCTGGAACTTAGAACTTGAGGACAAGGAAGGCAGGGAGGTGAGGGGACCAGGGCCAGCTAAGGGGCTCTCCTGGGCCTGGGCGAGGGGTGAGCGATGAGGTCAGGCCAAGGTCAGTCCTTTCCCAGCAGGGAGACCCCCCACAAGGGTCTGTCCCCCACCCCCATAGTAGCTCTGGTTCTCCCAGCCCCCCCAGCTCAGATCTAACTTGAGGGGGGAGGGGATGCTCCATCAACCTCTCAGGCTGGGCGTGGCCTGGCACCTTGACTGCCCAGGACCTGCCGAGGGCGCCCTGCCTTTCTGCACTGGGTGAGGCTTTTTTACCAGCCCCATTTGGCGGACGGGGAAGCTGAGGTCCTGGCTGGAGAAGACACTTATCCACAGTTGGCAGACAGAAGCCGGCTGAATCCTGGTGTTTCTCACAGCCCCCAGGACTGTTCCTCCTGGGGTGCAAACCCATGACACAGATAAAAATAAACTGTGGGTGGGGCGACCCCAGGTAGAGAGGGATAGCAGCTGGGGGTGAACAGCCCCCAACCCTACAGACCACTTCCACCAGCTCCTCTGTCCCCACAGACCCCCAGACCCTGCCCTGCAGGGGGCCACCTGACTCACGCTAACCACCCCGCCCTGCCAGAAGGGGCACCTTGGGGTGCCTCGCAGCCTGGGAGGGGGGAAGGTCTCCCCGGGGAAGAGGTCCGCGCCAGCAAAGGCTTGCAGGGGGCGATGGGCGTGTGTGTCGGGGGTGGGAGGGGAGGGGAGGGGGAGGGTGCCGCTGCCCTGCCCAGTGCCCTATCCCCGCCCCAGCTCCTCTGACCCTCAAGGGGACAGCCGGCCAGCTTCCAGCCACGGAGGGGGAGGAAGACCAACCGCCCTGCTCGGATCAGGGGCTCACTCAGTCCCACGCCACACATTTCCTTTTGGGGTCAGCGCGGGCCGGGCATCCGGAGATAAAGCTGAGGCCCCGCCCCCCCGGGGCCGGACCGGAGGGGAGGGGGCTCCGCTGGGTGGCCGGGAGCCCGCCTCTGCCCTCGCTGGAGAGCTGGGTCCAGTCGTTTCACCTCTGGGGGCTCAGTTTTCTTATCTGTAAAATGGGATAAGAAGGGGGTCGCTCTGAGGGGTAAAGGGAATGAAGGGGCGCAGCCAGAGCGCGACCCAGACTCAGCGCTCGCTACAGGCAGGCGATTAGAGGATGAAATGCGATGATGGCGGCCGTGCGGGCGCCCTAAGAGCCGGAGGGGGCCCTGGGGTGTAGCCTGGGGGGGCGATCGCGGCCCCCATCGCAGGGCACGAAGCTGGCGCGCCCCCCGCGCTCCCCTCCGCCGACCCCGAGGACGTGCGCCGGGCTCGCACTCGCCGGCGGACGGGACAGGACGCGCCCGCCCCGCCCCGGCGCGCGGCCCGGGGGGAAGGAAGTGCTGAGGTGTTTGTCAAGGCTTGGCGTTATTCTTATTTTTTAAATTGTGAACACAAAACAGTAACGACGAATGGAAGGAACTTTATAAACGGGGGAAAAAAGAAACCCACCCGCAGACTCCGGGCGCATAACGCACGAGTTTCCCTCGGGAAGAACCGGCGTGGAAGCGCGGACCCCGCGCTGGCCCGGGGTGTTCGCACAGACCCGGGTGGAGCGGGGGTTTAAAACGCTCCACACGGTTGATGCCTGTGGTCCCCACGGTCGGACATTGGGCCCGCAGGAATTACGCACCCACTGTGTGCAGGCCCCGCCAGACCCCCCCCCCTTAATCACAGAGCGGGGGGGCGTGCGCAGTAGAGAAGGGGGTCTGGGAAGGTGTTTTGGAGGCAGTGGCATTTTATGAGGTCGGTGGGACTTGGCTCCCTGAAGGGGGAGGAAGCGTGTTCCAGACAGAGGCAACAGCGCTTACGAAGGCCCTAAGGCGTCGAGGCGCTTGGCTCCCCCGGGCAGGAACGCCAGGTGGCTGGCGTGGCTCGGGGGACGGACGCGCAGGGCGCCAGGTGGGGCTGTTGGGAGAGGTCGGCAGGGGGCACCCCGGGGCAGCGAGTTGGAATTTTCACGCCCTACAGATCAGAGTCATCGGGCCCCGAGACCGCGGTGGGTGGCGACGGTCACAGTCCGGTGCAGAGCATAATAGTGTGGATCTGCACAGCGGTTTGGAAGTCGCAAAGAGCCTTCGCTTGCTCACGACTTCCCCACGAGGTGGCCCCTGCGACATCGGAGAGAGGACCCATCTTACAGACCACAGAGCGTTATCTCCGTTTCCCAAAGAGGAACCCGAGAGGAGGCCGGTCCCCGACCCTCGGAATGCGCAGAGGCGGAGCCCGCGGCCTCGGGCACTCCCCGGCGTGGGCGCTCGGGGCGGGCGGGGCGGGCCCTGGCCCTCGGCGCTCCGGATCGGTGGGCAGGGTGCTGGTCCTGCCACGCAGCCGCAGAGGCTCGGCCGCGCGGGCGGGCGGCAGGAAGGGAGGCGACGCCCCCTGGAGCGCGGCAGGAACCCGGCCGGGCCCGCCTGCCCCGCCCGCCGAGTCGCGCGGGCCCCAGAAGTGATGAAAGCCGCGGCCGAGTCCGGGTCACGCCGAAGCCGTTGCCCTTTTAAGGGGGAGCCTTGAAACGGCGCCCGGGTTCCATGTTTGCATCCGCCTCGCGGGGAGGAAACTCCATGTTGTAACAAAGTTTCCTCCGCACCCCCTCCCTCCCCCTCCCCCTAAGAACCTGGCTCCCCTCCCCTCTGAAGCTCGCGGGGATCCCTCCCTCCCACCCCTC